CAGGCCCTGCAGAGGGAGAAAGTGAGGTTCCACTGATATCTGCAGTTCTCGGAGACCTTGGCCCATATGGCCCAGTGGGTCTAATCTGCAGAGTGGGAAGGGGTCTGCAAATGGGTTATGGGGAAGCCATCAGGAGTGATGACAGACGATCGCTTATTGCTCTTAGTGAAGAAGGACTGTCCACATGGAACTAGAGTGAACAAGCCAAATTCCTTTTCCATTTCACCTAAATACTCTTCCATTCCTTCCTTCACGACCCACCCACCCACCATTGATTCATCTATCTATCTATCATCTATCTATCATCCACCCATCCACTTACTATTCATTGATCTGCCAAGCCACCCACATCTGTTCATTAATGACCAATCAATCCATCTACCTATTCATCCCTCTAGTCATCCAGTCATCCATCCACCCATTTACCCACCCATACATACATCTAGCCACCCAGACATCAATCTATGCATGCATCTATCCACCTATCTTTTCTTCCATTTGCCTACTCAATCATAACACAAGTACATTTCTACAGAGTGATTACTATATATCAGGTATGGTTGCAAATGCTGAGGACACCACAGAGAACTGTAGCTCCTAGCTATGGAGTAGACTCCAGATACCACCCAAGCAGTGAGTACACCACAGATGATGGATGTGTGGGTGAGTGGATGGATAGATGGATGGATGGATGAGTGAGTGGATAGATAGATGGATGGATAGAGATGGATGAGTAGATGATGGATGAGAGGATGGATGATCGGTGGGTGAGTGGATAGATGGATGGGTGAGTGGACAGATGATTGGGTGAATGGATGGATGGATGGGTGAGTGGATGGATGGATGCACAGACAGATGGACGTATGGATGGATAAATGAGTGAGTGGATGGATGGGTGGGTGAGTGAGTGTTGGATGGATGAGTAGATGATGGATGGATGGGTGAGTGGATGATGGATGGGTAGGTGAGTGAATGATGGATGGATGGATAGGTGAGTGGACATATGGGTGAGTGAGTGGGTGGATGGATGGGTGAGTGGACATATGGGTGAGTGAGTGGGTGGATGGATGGGTGAGTGAATGATGGATAGATAGGGCAGATATACATCAGGGCCAGAAAGACTGGGTTCAAGCATCAGTTTATGAAAGTGTTGGGACAGGCTCCCATGGTAGGAGGACCTGTGAGGAAGGATCCAAGAGCTGCAGGGAAGAATGTGTGAGAAAATAGGAACAGCCAGTGTGAGGGCCCTGTGGTAGACTCCACAATTCCTTTGTGTTTCTGGTTCTCAGCATAGATAGCCATTTATCATCTAAAGCATGTGGTAAGCTATCCCCACAGCCCTGGGGGAGGGGTGCTGCTGGCAGCCTCTCCACACTCACTGTGAATTGTCCTTTGGTTCTCTTCCGGCTGCCAATGAAGAACCGAGCTCCTCTGACTGATAGGGTGGATGGGAAGGGAACATCAGCCATTCTGAAACATGAGTGAACTGTACTAGTATCATAGAAGAGGAAAGGAATACACCCCATTTGCTTATAAATATAGGGGATTGGTATTACATGGGAAACAGGCAAGAGAATCCTGGGACAGCTGTAATGACAGGATCCATAGCAATTAGAGGTTCAGAGCCTGCAGAGCAGTGCCCTCTCTGAGACAAAAGAGGACACCTTGCATTTCTGGCGCTAGTGACCCCAGGCTCCCCAGCTGGGGCTGCATCACTCTATCTCCATCTCCCTTTCTATTGCATCTGAGCATGCTTGCAGCCTTTCTCCTGCCTCTGGTCTCTACCTCCTCATCAGGAGCTGTCTCACTCAGCTGATGTCATCTTGACATGGTTTAAGACCCAGTTGACAGGTAAAGGCACATTCATAGTCCCAAGTGGACATGAGCTGGGGCACTCCAGTACAGAGGCTCCTGCAGGAATACACAGTGAGTATACATATGGGACCTTCTTTCTACCTCCTGGTGAATTCCAAGCACCTTCCCTTGCATCAGGACCCTAGCCCACATAGCCATTGTGTATTTTCACACAGCTTGGAGAGCAGGAATATGGTGGCTACAGGTGGGAGGGAGGTGCCTTGCTGGAGACCCAGAAGCCTCTGGAAAGTGCTGGTTGTGATTGATGTGAAGGTTGAACTAACTGAGGAAGACATGAAGGATAGCAGGCCAAGGGGGGAGATAGGGGTACATGTGGCCAGAGCCTCTGCATGAGGTACAGTGTGCCATGACATACTGTCCTCTCCTCCAGCTCCTGCTTCCTCCAGCCTTAACCATCTGCTGCAGTGCATCAAGCTCCTGGCCAGGGGACCAGGCAGCCAGCCCTCCACCCATAGCCACCTCCACTCTTTGCTAGGCACCTGACCCCTGAGCTCAGCCTGAAGACTTGATGCTGGCCTGCATTCTCAGCCCAAGAGCCTCATCTTCCTTGGCCACAGTCATTCCAAATAGGTGGATTCTAGCCCCTGATTGGGCTCCTCCATTTCATAGAGCCATGTAGCTGCTCCATAAGCCCTGGCCTGATAATGAAAGCCTGCCTTCCACAAGGCCGTTATCAGGGCCAGCACCTAAGGCATTCTCCATAGCCTGTCCCAGCTAAAGGATTTGGCAGGGGGGATTTGCCCAGGGCCCACCCCCATGCCACAGTGGTGGAACAGCCACTGGAATGGGTTGCTCAGATGACACACAGCATAGTCAGTCACTGGGTTGCATATCCTGGTACCTACATGTCCATTGGGAGGCCACAGTCCACAGTGAGGGAAAAGGATCCTTGGGACACAGCCAAGATCAGCGTGTGCCACTGGCTGTCCACGAGGCCGGGGCTCCTGAAGGACACACGGGTCTGCCAGGCACCAGCCAAGTCCTCGGTGAGAAATAGGAAGTGCAGCTGTGTGGGTGAGTACCTCAGGCCAAGCAGCAGGGTGTCCCTCTCCTCCGCCAGCAGGGAGAGCAGGTATTCATTCTTCTGTGGAGAGGAGGGCCAGAGGTGGGGCAGAGCTGAAGGAAAGGGAGGAGGGAAGGACCAAGAAGGATGGGCAAGGCTAATGGGGTGGAGCAGATGAGAAGAAGGGGAGAGGAGAGCAGGTCCTGGGAGGGGTGGGGAGAGAGGGTGAGGTAGCAGGAGAGTGGGCGGGGCTGATAGCAGGAGGTGGTGCTAGCCAGGAAGTGGGTGAAGCTGGCGGCATTCTACCCCGTAGCACTGCTGGGTAGAAATTCAGTGTACCTCCCCACCCCAACATCCCAGCCAGACAGGGACTAGCAGCCTAGTCCATATTTTCAGCCTGTAGAGAGAAATAGGTCTTGACCTGCTCCCTCATGGAGGAGCCAGGAGGACCTCACACTGAGGAAAACAAATCCGGCCAGAAGGACAGGTGCTGTACCAATCAGCTTAGCTCCACAAAGCCTCAGATTCATGCAGACACAACAGGTGCTAGGGGTTTGGGGTGGGGTGGGGGATTGTGGAGCTAGAAGCCAGTAGTTCACAGGATAGCCGAGATTTGCTAGGTGGAATGCGAATGAACTCAGTGTGGCAGAGATGCACTCACCAAGGTGAGCACAGTAAGCTCTCTTGCTATGTGTATTTTGTGACAATCAGTAAAGCTGAGTGACAAATCTCAAAAGTAAGCTTGCCTTTCCCACTGTGGGCTGTTTATAACCAACCACACATCTCACCAAGCAGTCCTTAGGCAAACACAGGCAGTCTGATGAGCCAAAAGGTAAGCTGATTCTGACAATTGTGTGCATGCAGAAGTGTGCACACTTACTATTGTCTGTGTGCATGCAGATGTTTACACACTTGCTATTGCCTGTGTACATGGAGATGTTTACATACTTACTATTGCCTGTGTGCATGCAGATGTTTACACACTTAAAGTATTGCCTGTGTGCATGCAGATGTATACACACTTACTATTGCCTGTGTGCATGTAGATGTATACACACTTACTACTTTCCTTACTGAGATTCTGCCCATGTGAATCTGCATGCCAGTTCCACCTGTTCTAAAGATAGGGAGGGCCTGTGTGCCCTTCAGAGTGGGCTCAATGTGCAGTATGCCTAGGACACAGTATGGAACACTTGCTTTTTCTGTTCCTAAGGCTCTCACATTGGGAAGAGAGTGAGTCTGTTTCCTGGGGAAATTGTGTGGAGCTTAGAAACTGACAAAACCCTCCCAGTGATGTCCAGGGTATCAGAAGCTACAGCAGGCTGAGGGGGAGCTAGGGATGGAGAGGTGAGAATGGGGAGGTATAGGGATAGAATCTCCCAACCCCCACCCCAAAACACACACACCAGGCTCACACTGACTTGAGCTCTCAAGTGCCCAGCCTGTACGTTTGGTATTAGTTACTGTTGTTCTTGTGAAGAAGCACCATGACTTATAGAGGAAAGAGTTTATTTTAGCTTAGAATTCCAGAGGGGATGTCCACAAAGGTGGGGGATTAATGGCAGCAGTTGAGTGAAGCAGGATGTTAGAGATCACAGCTTTAACCACAAGCAGAAAATAGAGAGCATGGACTCAAACAGTCTCAAAATGAATGAAGATATCAACTCCCAAAGCCTTGCCCCAATAACATACATCCTCAAGCAAGCCTCTAAAATTCCACAACTCTCCAAACAAAATCATCCACCAGAGACAAAGTTTTCAAATAAATGTACCTATTTGGGACAATTTTTCATTCAATCAACTTGTGGCCACCAGGGAAGGTGGCTACTGTCTCTCCTAGAAACATTCCTGGCCGAAGAGATGGATTTTTACTTGAACAGCATGTTCCAGAAGCATGAGAGGAGACCCATGTGGTTAGAAGAGTTTATTGAAGCCATGGGTAGCTGACAAGCTGATATCAGGGTCAGGTAACCAGAACAGAGGGACAGGGGGAGGGACAGTGACCTGAGGATCAGCAAGCCTCCTGGGAAGCAGGAGGGGAGGTCAAGTCACAAAGAACAGGTTGGGTCTCCATCCTGGGGGACTGTCCATCCCAGGTCAGGGTCAGGCTGAGATTGCTGAGAGGGACCACAGGGAGGAACCTGAGTCAGCTGGCACCAGGAACAGGCGCATCAGCAGCTGGACTTCTGTCCCGAGGAGAGGCCACAGCAGGCCTGGCTGGAGCACACAGGGCGGCAGAGCAGGGACATGCTGGAGCAGGGCTTGCAGCAGCTGGGCTGGCAGGAGGAGGCACAGCAGGAGGAGGTGGACACACAGCAGGCTGGTCTGCACACAGGGCGGCAGAGCAGGGACAAGCTGGAGCAGGGCTTGCAGCACACAGGCTTGCAGCAGACAGGCACACAGCAGGAGGGTTGACAGCATGAGGGCTGGCAGCTAGACTGCTGACAGCATGAGGAGGATCCAGAGCAGATGGGTGTGCAGCAGACAGGCTTGCAGCACAGGGTCACACAGCAGGACTGCTGGCAGGGGGAGCAGGTGTAGCAAGCTGGCTGGCAGCTAGACTGCTGGCAGCATGAGGGTGTGCAGCAGGCAGATTGGCAGCAGGGACTGGACACACAGCTCACTGGGGTGCAGATGAGGGTTAGGCAGGGGGCTGGAGCACAGCAGCTGGGCTGGCAGCAGCTGGGCTGGCAGCAGCTGGGCTCACAGCAGCTCTCTGGGCAGTCATCCACCTGCCAGGAGGAGTTGGTGCAAGCGTCAGAGCAGACAGACATGGTAGAGGCGGCTATGGTGGGAGCTGGGAGGTGGGAGCTTGTTAGTGTGTCAGTGTGTATTGTTATGTGCAATGCTGTCAGCTTTTATACCAGACTGGGAATGTTTTCAGCTGGAAGCCTCTAGAACCTTCCTTCCTCCTGGGTATTTTAAGTTGCGTCCTGAAAGCCCTTGTTAATCTGTTTATTTATAGGAGAGTCACTCCTCCCAAGTTCCACGTGGTGCTGGCTAGGGCCTGAGGGTGCTGTGTGCTTAGTCTTTTGAGTGCAGCCTTGCCCATGCTGGGTCTGGCTTTGTGCACATGTCACAGGCCTCATCATCCAGGCTGCTCCACTAGGCAGTGAGTAGCCTGGAGTTGTAGCCCAGGTGAGTGGGCAGGGCTGTAAAGCCTACTGCTATATGCAACTGGCAGAGAAGTGTCCCTGATCACTGGGAGGGCTTAGTCTGAGTCAAGGTGGCACAGGTCTGCAGAGAATGAGATGGTGAGGAAAACTGGGGGGGAGATTGATTCTTCAAGAACACAGACTTTCCAGACCAGCAACTGAGAAAGGGAGCTGTGGAGAGAGTGCCACGGATGCAGGGGCTGTGCCTGCTGCAGGGACACTTCATGGTGTGCCATGTGCCCACATAGGCTGGGAACCCAGGGAGCCTCCAGACAGCCCAGCAGGATGGATGCGCCAAGACTGAGTCTTCCTGTGTGCTGCAGCTGTAGGATGTCAGAGGGTGGATGACACCAGGGGACAGGAGTGGGCTGAGCTTTAGTAAGAGGCTCTGAGATCCCTGCCTATAGAAAGTAGTGCTAAAGCTAGGGACAGCAACAGCCAGAACCAGGTGAAGCTTCTAACTTGGCAGCGGCAAGTGAGCCTGTCTCCTTGGACCCACAGAGCCACCAGCCACCAGACTCACTCCCTTTTCCTCCCCATCCATTTAAACCATTCTTTGTGGTTTTTAATTCTCTGACCTCAAGATTCAACCAGCTATTGCACATCAAGTTTATCTCTCTCTTTCTCATTTTTTTTTCAAGACAGGGTTTCTCTGTATTGCTTTGGAGCCTGTCCTGGAACTTGCTCTGTAGACCAGGTTGACCTCGAACTCATAGAGATCTACCTGTCTTTACCTCCCAAGTGCTGAGATTAAAGGTATGTGCCACCAATGCCCGGTTAAGTTTATCTCTTTTTATGGGCCTGTAATATTCCATTGTATTGCTTTACCACAGTGTATCTGTTCAGTGATGGATATCAATAAGGATACAGACTAGTCCCGAGACTGAATGCCTCTACGTTTTATTCTTCTCAAATCCTGAGATTAAAGGTGTGAGCTCTGATTTACTCTCCAGAAGCCCTGGGTGATCTTTACACAGAGCTCCATCTACCTCTTAATTCTTAGTCCTGGGATTAAAGGTGTGTGCCTGACTTCTATGGCTAACTAGTATGGCTGCTTTGCTATTTTAACCTCTGGTGGCTTTAATAAATCATGGATATATCACCACGCTAACCAGTATGCCCAATGACCTCACTTTCTCCCATTAGGCCCCACCTCCTGACAACATCACAGGCTGGGGACCAAGCTTCAGCACCTGGGTTCTGGGCACACTGAAAACTATAGTACAGCAGTACCTGGCTCTGTTTCTGGGATGTTGGATTTCCTTGCTCGGGTCTCTGACCTGAGGCTTTTCTTGGCACAGGTGCCCACGCCTGTAAACTTCTCCTACCGCAGGGCATCCGCTTCCTCTACACTATGATGGCTGATGTCCAGTGTCAACCTGACAGGATTTGGATCTCCTGGGGAACATGCTGCTGGGCCTGTTAGTGAGGAAGTTTCCAGGGAGGAGTAACTGAGGAGGGAAGAGCTGCCATGAATAACAAAGAGGAAATGACCTGAGCCCCTGAGCATCTCTCTGCTCCCTGACTGAGGTCTCTGTGAGCCTCCTCACACCCCTGCCACCATGATGTCCCTACCATGACAGACTGTGTTCTCAAACCCTGAGTCAGAACCAACTCCTTCTTTCCTTAAGTTGTTTGGTTCAGGTGTTTGTCACCATCAGAAAAGCAAGTAACAGAAGGGACACCAGGAGTCGACAGGGTGAGGGAATGGTGTATCAGTTCCCCACATCTGACAGAGGCCACCATGTACTCTGCAAAGGAACCTTAGAGTCAACAATGAATCAACCTAACTCAAAAAGTGGCAAGAGAGTGGATAGACCCTTTGCCAAAGAAGACACCCAGATGCCAAACGATGCCCACAGTGTAAACTCGGAAAACTGAAGTCACAGGCAGGGTGGGGCACATCTGTGATCTCAGCTATGCAGGAGGGGGGATTATGAGTTTGAGGACAATTTGTGCTGTGCAGAAAAATGAGGGAGAGAGAGAGAGAGAATATTGATGAGAGGGTGGATCTGTATACTTGTAAAAATGCCCCACATCAAAATGCCAACAGCAGATGTTGGGGAGGAAGAAATGATGGGAACTCTTGCTCCCTGCTTCTAGGAATGCAGGATGGCTCAGAGATGTAGAGGAACTTGGTGGGCTCTTAACAAAAAAAAAAAAAAAAAAACCAAACACACCTCCAACCATTGAGCACCAGTATCCCTTGGTATTTATTAAAAGGAGCTGAAAGGCCACATCTTCACAGAGATCTCTGAATGGATGTGCATGCTGCCTTATCAAAATGCCAAAAGCCCCACAGAATCATACTGAGCCTCAGCTGGGGGAGGGGAAGACCCTGCAGAGAAGGGAGAAACCCTGCCAAGGGAGAGACTGCATGCAGAGAAGGGAATGATGTTCGGTGACAGAGGAAAAAGACTGGAGGAGCATGGACCTGGAGGGGCTTGAAGGACGTGGGGGATGTAGTGGGACCTGGAGGGGCATAGGGCCCTTCTGAGCACGGGTCTAAGTGAGAAGAGAGGGTTGCAAGGGGATTGCCAGGGTGGGGGCCAGGGAGACTCCATAGGATATCAGAACCCTGAGGGCATTCAGGTCAGCAAAGTATTATGTAAGACACTGCAGAGATGGGGACATGTGTGTGTCCTTAGCATGTCTGACACCAAGAATGGAGTTAGTGACAAAGCCAGATCCCTGGACTCAGCCGTGCAGGGCAGGGCTCCCGCCTGCTACTCCAGCTCACTACTCTCTCTCTCTCTCTCTCTCTGAGCAGTTCACTGTGGCCACACCCATGGTTATCAACTTTATCACAGCCCCAACCCCAGCTGCCCCCCTCTGGCTTTCTTTCTTGTAAATATCGTCTCGTCTTTGCTCAATGGCTCCATCTTTCTCTAACATTTGGCTGTGTGGGATAGGTGAGGTTAGTGGGTTCTCACCAATTGATTGATCTTCTCTGACCACATTTTCTCACCTTGGGTGTCTACTAAACTGAACATCGCTTCAGCTGGATGCTGTGTTTCTGTGATCATTCAAGCTTGCCTGGACGGGCTGGGTGCCAGCAGGCTAGTTACTTGGGACTCAGGTATTCTGGTGGTAAATTAGGTCAGGTCATTTGTCTGACTCCCTTCTGAGGAATTCCCCTCAGGGCACTACTCCAGGTGCTAAATATCAGGCTTCATGCCCAGGAGATGCCTCAGACTTGAGTTCTACTGCCTAGTACAGGGGATCCCTGGTCCAGCAGCAGCTTCTCTTGGCCAACTATGCATGTCTGAGACCATCACCCACTGGATGGTGAGGACCCTTTGTGGATGCTGAGAACCCTTTCCAGACATGGGAACTGTCACAGCAGCATCTCACTTTTCTTCTTTGTGCAGAGCATGACACTGAGCTCCACTGGACATCCCCAGGGCAGGTGGCCAATGTCTCTCACTATTGTGAGTCAAAGTCCCTCCCTCCTGGAAACAATCACAGCCTGTAGAGAATGACATCTACTTAAATCAGATTTCTCACAGCATGAGAGGAGATCCAGGCGGTTAGAAGAGTTTATTGATGTTCTGAATGTCTGAAGGGCTAATGCCGAAGACAAGTGACCAGAGCAGAGGGACAGTGAAGGGGACAGTGACCTGGGGTGCAGGTGGAGTTCCTGGGAGGCAGGAGGTCAGGTCAGGTCATGTCAGTGTAGGAAACATGTTGGTGTTCTGGGGAGATCCCACATCAGGAGCTAAAAGGGATTGGGGAGGGGACATGAGCAGGAAGTAGACAGATCCATCAGCAGCTGGACTTCTGTCCGGAGGAGAGGCCACAGCAGGCCTGGCTGGAGCACACAGGGCGGCAGAGCAGGGACATGCTGGAGCAGGGCTTGCAGCAGCTGGGCTGGCAGGAGGAGGCACAGCAGGAGGAGGTGGGCACACAGCAGGCTGGTCTGCACACAGGGCGGCAGAGCAGGGACATGCTGGAGCAGGGCTTGCAGCACACAGGCTTGCAGCAGACAGGCACACAGCAGGAGGGTTGACAGCATGAGGGCTGGCAGCTAGACTGCTGGCAGCATGGGGAAGATCCAGAGCAGATGGGTGTGCAGCAGACAGGCTTGCAGCAAAGAGTCACACAGCAAGGTGACTG